AAGAGATCTGATAATGTCGGATTAACTCTCTATTCTTTTTTGTTTTCAGATAATTATATAAATGTTATTAGAAGAAATTCCTGTTGAAATGTATTTAGAAATATTCAAATATCTTGATGTTATTAATCTCTATGGATTTTATAATCTTAATAAAAAGACTAATTTAATTTTATCTCAAGCTCATCTTTATTTTAATTTTGACGATAATATTGATAATCGTTTTGCATCACGTCTATATGCATTTGATGAGCTACAAATATATTATTTCAGTCTATCTGGTAGTGCTATAAATATTTTCTGTTCAATGTTCACATTAACACAGTTTAATAATTTACGAACATTAAAATTATTGCAAATACCAATACCAAATTTACGTCGTTTTACATCAGAATTATTAATGTTGAAGCGTTTAACACAACTGCATGTAGAACCAACATTTCATAGTGATGAATCATATGATTGTAATCGAATATTACAGCACTCAACATTGAAAATTTGTTACTTAAAATCATCTTTTGAAAAACGTTTGTATTTTTCAATGCCATTAATGTCAAACAGTTCAATTGAACATTTAACACTTGATGTATGCTGTTTAGATGACGTCTATCTATTTTTACAACATATGCCAAAATTAAAACGTTTAATAATGATTGTACATGCAACTGGAAATGATAAAGGAATAAATAGAAAAAATATTACAGAATTAATAACACCAAATTTAGTTTATTTTAAATTAATAATAAAAGGCTCTATGGAAGAAGATGTTGAGATATTTGAACCTTTAAAAGAACTACTTATGCTCCTGCCAAAATTAGTTTATTTTGAATTCACAAGCTTTGCTTGTAGATTTAGGGATGGTTATTGGTGGGAAAAGGTACTTTGTGAATTAATATATTTAAAAACATTTCGTTGTAGTGTTTGCGTATGGAAGGCGTATCGAGGTAAAAATCTAGCACAATATGGTGAAAAATTTGTTGAATCGTTTCAAACATCATTTTGGTTGAAAAAAACGCAAAGAATGGAGAATAAATTTTAGAGAAATGGTACGACATATTGCTGTTTACACTTCAAAAAACGAGTCCATGTCAAATCATCGAACATAATTTCATTGTACGATATTCTATTGAACAAATTTTTGCCACAAAGGATTTTCATCGCAATGCATTTTTTAAATATCTGTAATTTTTAATTTTTTTTCAATCTGGTGGAATTACAGAATCCCTGGGATATTTTTGTATATCTGATGCTTTGTATATACTAAACACTGTTGACTAGTACAGAAATATTTTGAACACTTCAGTAATTTGTTAGACAATGTGAATACAACTTACTTGAAAACACCGGTTTGCTTATGTTTTTTAATAAAAATGTTTCTTTTTGGCTCGCTCCACTATTTTGAGGAGATCTCAGCGAGGAAAAGGTTTCTGGAGTCGGGGAACACATATTCGGACTCGCCATTCCATTCTCTATCGAATGGTGTGTAAAAAAAGAAGAAAAAAATCTGCTCGAATTCTGCTTGCCGTGCACCTTAGCTTTTGATACTCTGTTCAACCATATGCCAATTGCTGCATTTAATGACTTGACCAAAACTACGATAAAAATAAGTAAGAGATCAGCCAAAAAAGAACCATTGATTGTCGTAAAATGCGTGTAAAATTATAAAAAAACATCACAGGAGCTCGTCAATATCTCATTTTGCATGCATCTATTTTTATGATTTTATCAAATTTTTAATATAACAAAACTCAGAAATCTAATCTATCTTCAATTTATGATAAAAAAGTGCATAATGTTCCTACTTTAAAATGTTTCACCATATATATGACTCGATGCAGAATTCTCTGCTCTACAAAATAAATCAAGATATTTTTGGCACACTGTCATATACGTTATTCGAGTATTTTAAAAAATACGGAAAAAACTCATATTTGAAAATATGAAATATTTTAGTTTTCTATTATTTAGTCCTAGATAGTAAAACATATTATTATCTTTATCACCTAAAAAATATACAGGACAATCTTCCTTCTTCATAGCAGAATACGGCTTTAAAAAAATGTTCTTTCGGTAAAAATGATGACAACTTTACTAAATTCAGCTACCATAGAATACCTCTCTTCCAGTCATGATCAAAAAGTACAACAATCCAATATAAGGACATAATATTAAATGCTAATATTTTGAATTTGCACACCATCAACAAGGACCTATTTATTCTACACCACTATATGGCCATAGTTATTGCACCACGATATGGTCATGGTTATTGCACCACAATACTCAAAATGATTGCGCAACATTGCGTATATAAATAGATCGGTTTTCTTTGTTAAAGTCAGTGAGCCTGTTTTCTTTGTAAATACACTACTACTCCTTCGTATTAGTTCATATTATATCTGAACAAGCTTTCAGTAATAAAACATGAAAACATAATTCATTGTTGGTACTGACACAAAGAAGGATACAAGTTACGTATAAAACACTACGTAACAACATTTCGGTAGAAATCCGACATGGTCCTTTATGATCATCAGT